CGCCCCCCTCCCTCCGCCCGCCCTTCCCCATCGATAGGTATCAGAAATTGATCCCCGCCGCCGCCGCTCTTTGTTCGGCGCCGCCCGCCCGGGAGCCTGGAGCGGAGCATGGAGCAGCGCTAGCGGCGATGGAGCCGCGATGGAGCCCCGGCCCCCGCCCCGCCGCCCCCGAGGTGACAGCAGGGCCGGGGGGCGGCCGCCGCTCCGCCCCGGCGGGAGGGAGGGAGGAAGAGGAGGGAGGGAAGTTGCGCGGGATGAAGTTGCGGGGAGCGCGGCCCCCCGCGCCGCCCCGCCAAGTTTCTGGCGGTCCCCGCCCGCCGAGCGGAGCCGCAGGTGCCCGCGGGCTGCCAAGTGTGCCCGGCGCCGCCCGCGGCGGGGGCGGCTCGGTCCCCGCATCCCCCGGCGCGCTCGGGGCGGGCAGAGCCGCGCGGTTGCGGTGATGGATGCGGGGATGGAGGAGCGGGGCTGCCCGGAGCCCCGCCGCCCTCCCATTGTTATCCGGGGCCGGTGCGCGGGGCCGGTGCGGGGGCTCGGCCAGCCCTGAGCGCCGGGAAGGCGGTCGGTACCGGGCGGTGCTGCTCGGACCGGGGATGGATGCGGCGGGGGGGCGGCAGCTCCTTTGTGGCTCCGGGCAGGTCACGGCCGCCGTATCCCACCGTGGTACCCTCGGTCTGTGAAATTCCCGGTAAGTCCTTTGTTACCGTGCGCGGGGGAAGGTTGCCAGGGGCTGCTGACAGTTTGTGACCTTAAATACGCACCTTAAATGGGAGGTGGGTAATTAACACAATGGCTCTCCCAACATAATGGGATGAAAACCAACCTGGAGCCGCTACAACAACCCGAACGCGCATTTCCATGGATATTAAATGGGTTTATCCCTGTAGGATATTCCGGAGTTTAAAATACAGCGTGCTTCGGAGGGGAGTAAACAAATTGAAATGCGATTTATGGGGCTCCGGTGCTGGATCAACAGTTCCAGCATTTAATGCATTTTGGCTTTTAAGCAGATTACGTGCTGCATCTGCGCTACGCGACCCGAAAAGTACCGCAGGTACCGCGGCCGGTGGGTTTGCCATGACTGCTCAGTTCTGGCATTGTGGCCGGGAAGGGATTAGGGCTCTAAGCGCTTCGGATACAAAAGCGTTCCCCGCTAAATCGCGCTAATGACTTTTCCTGGGTGCGCGCAGAACCTTTATTTAAAAGATAAATATTGGCAGCTACTTTGCCGTGGGTCTGTCGGGGGCGAACTTTGCCGGAGGGAGAGGTGGGCTGGGAGGTGGCGGCTCTCCTTCCTCCCTTCCTTCCTCCCTTCCTCCCTTCGCTCCCCGCCGTTCCGCCTGGCCGGTGCCTGTGGCTGGGTGCGGAGCTGGAGAGGGAGCAGTGGGGATTGACTTCTGTCCAGGCAGCAGTTCTGCCGCCTCGCCGGGATCGCGTTGGGAAAGGTGACCTTGTGCCAGCTTGGCCTAATGCCCTCCATTAAGGAAAAAAAAAAAAAACAGGGGGGGAAAGGAAAAAAAAAAAAAAAAAAAAAGGGAAGGCAAGCAATCAATTTATAATTCTTCCAAGAGCTTTTTCCTTTTTTTTTTTTTTTTTCCCTTCCTTTTTAATGGATGTGTCTGAGCAGCTCTGGTGGCCTGGGGCTGGCCGGGAATGGCAGAGTTTGAGCCGCCCTGATGAATGGTGGGCATATGGAAAACACAGGGATAATGTGCGGCTCGGCAGCGCTCGGATCGAAACGGCGCTGAGCCCTTTTACGGCAGAGAGTCGCGGAAATGAGGAGAGATAAAATTCTATCAAAGATAATGCCAGATGTATTTCACCGGGTTATGAGATTGGTTTATTGTGTGCATTACTAATGCAGTATTTTTTTACAGCTTTCTTGTGTGTGATAGCCAGAGCGGGATTCATACCTTCGTGGGGTTTTTTGGGGTTTAATTTGCTCGGGGTTTATTGCGTTCTGGTTGGCACCGTGTGGATTTATGGGATGCTCTGTGCTCTGGATGCTGCTCCAATCCAACCCGTTCTGCTTTAAAATGGCAAAAAAATGGGCAAGAGTTTTGAGCTGCTGATTTGGGGTAATAAATACAACGGGCGAGCGAGAGCGATTAGAGCCATCTTTTATAAATGTCTTCACATCTCATTATGCAGATGAGCTCTGGCTACACGGCTCCAAGCCTTTGGTTCTCGTCAAATAAACTGTTCTTGGGTTTATTTCCCGGAATGCAAATGCTCTCTCCTCGTGCAGGAGTTGGGCAGAAACTTCGGCAGCTCTGCCGGATGGAGGAGAGCCGGGAGCCTCGGAGCCTGCTCTAGCTGATTAAATGTTTTTGCTGTTTAAAGTTTAGGGGAGAAGGAGTGGGGGGAAAAAAAAAATACACAACTGTGGATGTGATTAAAATATTATAACCTTATGATATTCTGAAGTGCATAAATTTTACATATCAGCTACAGAGGGAGTTTAGACATCCATTAAATGATATGACAGCTTGACTTATCTAAATGTGCATCATTTAACAATGTGTCAAAATTCTGCTTTATATAGACGACAGCAGTAAATAAGCTATCAGTCCTCTTGGCTGGAGCTTAATTCCTGGAGCTTGGACTAATAAACTTAGCTGCATTCTTGTGGTGTAGCAGGATAAACCTGGGGGAGGCTGAGGTGCTTCTGGGGCTGTGGATGGGGGAGCTTGACCTCTGCAAATGCCCCTGGTGCTCTGGGTTTTTAGGGCTCTTATGGAGAGACTGGTGGGACATTCCAGTTTGATCCTGCACCCAACACCTTCCATCCCCATCCCTGCTGGAGTGGCTGTGGTCACTGTGCCCGAGGGAAAGCGTGGGGAGCCCAAGGAGGCCCCGTCTCAGAGGGATTTTTATCTTTCCAAGCTGAAATCTCCGGGTTTGTGGAAGTGCAGCCAGTGCCCGGGGCTGGCTGAGAAGCCTTGTGAGGTCGGGGAATGCGGTTTGTGCTTTGCAGTGGCTCCAGCTGCTCCTGGTGCAGTGGGGCGTGGGGAGCACTGGCTGTGGGATCATCTGGTTTGAACAATTAATCTGAATTTGGGCGCCGCCGGAGCCGAGGCCTCGGCAGATGTCTGTCTCATGGTTGGCTTGGCTGCTGTCTGATGGTTGTGTGCTCCTCCTGGCAGCTTCCCTTGACCACAGCTCTTCAGGTGGGCTCTCCTGCAGGGCTGTGCCCTGTTGGTGGGGACACAAGTGATGCTTTTGTCCTTTACCCAGCAGCTCTGTGTCCTTAGGGATCCAGGGCTGGAAACGCAGCCGCCCCCAAGGAGGTGCAGCTGAGCTGGTCACTGAAATGTAGCTGATGCTCCAGCATCAACAAGTTCAAACCTTGGTCACAGGAGAGCTCGGGTGTCCTGGAATGTCACTGTCACTGACCACCTCGTGGTGTCCCTTCCTCTGTGCCTGCACTGCAGCTCCCTCCTTGGGACAGCCTGAGGTGACAATCCATCCCTCCCCCCAAATCTTTCATTAATACCTGATATTTCTACTATTTCCTGTTCAGGAAAGGAACGTGAGGAGATGGGCTGTGTTTCAGGTCCCACCTGCTCTGGGGTCAGTACTGAGCATCACTGGAAAGTCAGACTGAAGTTCCTGAAGTGAAATCTGATTTTTTTTTCTTTTAATATTTTTTTTTTTCTGGCTGAATAATTGAGATG